ACAAAGTAGCACAAAGCCCAGTGAGGTAGTACAGATTATCAATCAGTGGCACCCGCATGTCCTCACAAAGCGCTGTTCCAAAACGCTCCCTACAAGGGGACAAATAGTAAGGGTCTCACAAAAGACCCATGTCTGTACCAGATCGCAACCAAATTTGGGGAACTATGCGGATTTGAGCTCTAGTGTGCAATACAAGGCGATCAGAAGTTTTCACGTGTAATGAAACTGACACGAAAACTTACTCGTGCTTATCGAGTGATTTTAGTATGGAAAATTGTGTCATGCTAGGCCTTTACCAAGCCCTTAGTTCTCCAGATTCGAACAATGGAGGCTGAGCAAACAACTTAGACACTCATTTTTAGGTCGCAATCAAGATGATCAACACTCAGAAAGTAACGGAGGAATTTCGCAGTAAATTTCTTCCCCGAGAGATTGAATGCTGGAAGCGGCTCAATCATCCTCATCTAGTCCGGATCCTTGGCCACTATGAAGCCATGCAACACGTATTTCTCACAATGGAATTCGCGAGAGGAGGCGATATGGTGCGCTATATGAACCTTCCCACATTCCTGTAAAAATGAATTGAGCAGGGTTTCACTCTCCAGGGGTAAAGTTTCCAGGATGGGTAAGAACTATACGTTCAAATGAAATGGTTCCCATCAAGAGCTCTTCATTATGAGAAGCACGCATAAGCAGAGGGTGTATTGAAGGCAAGCTCCGGGATTAGGCGCGCTCACCTGCTCCATCCCCGGAGGCAAAGATAGGGGGACGAGCTTCTTGCGCCTTTGTCACGCCCTTCTGCGCGACAAAGGGCGCAAGAGCTCGTCCGACCCGCAACTCACACCTTCGTCCGCAAGCCCCACCCTCCGCTGTCGGTTGCCACGTGGCGCTGCTTGAAAAGCGCGGGCGCATTTGAGGCAGCGGTCCCATTGCGACCCAATGTCATTGGCACTGGAGCAACTAGAGTTAGGTTCGTGAAACTCGTCCAACGCGCCCTTCTCTATCCCAAGGTGGAATGCGGCTGAAATGGGAGGTCTCTGTGCGGGGCGTAATCGGTGGTTTCGTTTGCTTTCCTTCTCTTTTACAGACCACCTCCCACCTCTAGCTTCATAACTGAACGCTTTTCCACACCTATTTTATCCCGAATCTTGCCTTTAAAAGTGAAGCATTTCCAGCAGCATCCTCAACCAAACAACTTCCCACTTGAATTCCGCCACATTTGTAAATGCTTGCCTGCTCAAAGGATGCGAGTGCGACGGCTGGGAGATGGAGCTTGTTGAAAGACCTCATTCTGAAGGGCGATGCGACCACACCACCAGCGAGCTAGGGCACGCCTTCAACCAGCTCCTTACTCTCTTCCTCAACTGACGTCTGCAAACTAGCACCACTTTCCCTGACCGTCTTGTGGATTGTCAATGACGATAACGCTTCTTACCATTAGTGTGGGTCGTACTGCATCACCACACTTCATGATACCTCGTTCGAATTTCATTTAATCGTACGGAAATTATTATAGCTTTTTCTTCCGTTGATGGGAGGTTGCCAATGAAATTTCACAAACCTAGGTAGAGCTGTGATTCAGTAAATATACCCAACAACTCCACTCAAGCTGCCGTTCTAGCTACAACACGTGCAGAGAAAAGGACCCGTGAAGGAGCACCAGGCGATGATTTGGATGTCTCAAGTAATATCTGCAGTATATTACATGCATACGGTAAGCATTTCAAAAAGCGCTGAAGTCATTACGACCATCAGCAAACAAGCGATAACAGAAATACGTAACACAGTTTCAGCGTGGAATTGTACATCGCGATCTCAAATTGGAAAATATCGTCATCTTTCCGGACGAAGGCATCATCAAAATCAGTGATTTCGGATTCGCACGTAGCGTAGGTTTTTCTCAGATTACTTGACAGGGACCTTCTACAAAATAGCGCATAATGACCAGGGCTTCTACAATAACTACCGAGTTTCGCGCGTATGTTGTGTATCCTGCACAGCT